AATTTTAAATAAAAATAAAACAACATGCAAACCTCGCAACAAATAGTTTAGACAAGTTAAAGACCAAAAAAAAAAAAAACATAACATTGAAAAATCATGTTAAACAATATAAATCATGTTTCCACTAATCAATAGCAATAAAAAATGTATAAATATACTTGGTAAACTTACCATAAGTCAAGAAGTTGGTCACCAATTTCAGGAGAACCATCTTTGAAGAATTCTATAGTTATATAGCCTTTTGATGTATTTAGAACCTACAAAAAAGAAATGTTTTAACTAAACAAAAATGGTACAAGCAAAACAAATAAATAGGATTTATGCAATTACATCATTGGAGAAACTTACAGCGTATCTAAGAATATCATACTTCTTTGAATCCATAACTTCATTAAGATATTGAATCAAAAGACAAAAATATTTGGTACTTTAACAAAATACCCATCATCTAACATCATGTTTAGTAGGAAGAAAAAAACAAAGTGAAGGAAAAAAATACCTCAAATTTTGACAACTCAATTCCTATTTACTTCATTAACCTGCTACAATTAACAATGGAAATCAATTTCCAACAAATTAATTTTCAGATGAATTAATAGAGTTGAAAAAGAAAGAAGAAGCAAACATGGATAAATTAAGAAATAAGCAAGCAAAGGAAAAAAAAAAACTAAGAAATTGTTATACATCTTTGAGCAAGAAGATTCTAGCAAATCGCCTTTTGTCTATGAAAGACAACTCCATGCCATCATCTAGTTACAAAAAAACATTCCAATGAAGATAAATCATCATAAATAAAACCTTAACAATTTCATTAAGGTATAGAAAAACTTCATTGCTACTTTTAGATGTACTAGTTTTTGGCCACGTGCTATGCATGCTATAGTCAATTAAAATATAACATCACAATAATTTAATTTTAATATTTGTAATTATGATGGTAAATAAAATTTAAAATTCAAAAAATATATATATAAAAAAACTGAGTAAGAAGTTGTATAGAAAAATAAACATCTAATCTTTCTTTATTTTGATCTTTCTATTGAGAAACTTTTTCTTGAAGTCTTTTAGTGTAAGGTTATCGTCTACATCTTTATCTTTCTTTAGAGAATCATCTTCTGTTATAATCAAATTGAATTGAACATTTTCCTTTTTTTCTGCCTTTTGCTTTTTCACGAGCTTTCTTTTTCTTTTCTTTGTTGGTAAATCTTTATCTTCAATTGTATGTATTTCTGAAGCAATCAATTGTCATTTAACTCGTTCAAGCTCTTGGTTTTTATCTATTTGCACTGAGAATTTAAATTCCTGATTGAGACTTGAAACTATATTATTATAATAATCAGGTTCTCCTCTATTCTTTGTTGCTTCCTACAATTAAATAATAATAATGTTGTAAATAATATTTCATATTATACTAAATTAAATTACATTTATGTAAATAATAATTCATTACCTTATCATTCAAGTAGTTGAGATATTTTGAAACTTCACAACCAATGAAAGTTTCTGTTGCTTGAAATAAAGTGAGTATAATACTTTCCTTTCCATCACTAATCTCCAATTTTAACATGTACCTATTAACATGATATAAATTAGTTTGAAATTCATTTGATTAGAATAAAAAATGCATACTTATTTTATGTATATAAAATGCTATTATAATGAAATTTCTTACCTCGGTCCAAAATTTGTAGTGAATTTTAAGCATTTTTTGCACCATGCTTGGTTGATGTCTTTATCAATTTCTACCTTCCCCTTGCATTCTTTACAAGCATCATACCAAGGTTTTTCTTTATTGGTAATATTCATTACAGTTGCTTTGAATGAATATACTATATTCTACAAAATTAAAGAAAATTAATTTTTTTTTATAGTATTTCAAAAATAATAAATTAATAGAAGTGAATATTATAAACCTTTGTAGTTGCAAATGATGGATCAATGATTTTTTCCAAAGTGACTTCCAATTCTTCCATTTTTTTTCTCAGGCATTGAGTATGATATCACATTGTGACTTTCGTAATTAGATATCCTAATAAATAAATTAATTAATATAAAATAATTTTTATTTCCAAAATATTTGAGTGCAATGTATTTAAAGAAAATAAAGAATTTACCACTTTCTTAATTTCTTTGCCTTTTTTATTGTAGGATTAATGACGATGGAAGATATTGCGAATGTATTTAGTTGATAAACACCTGAAAAATATACAATTAGTAAATGATAAGTTAAAAAAAAAACTATTTGAAAATTTGACCAAGTTTATTAATAGTAAATAATAAGTTTAAAAAAATTTAAGCAAGTTTTAGCCAAGATAAAATATAATTTTAAAATATATCAATTACCTTGATATGTGTTTCCTTGTACATTTAATAATGCAATAATTGGTCTTTTTTCTTTTATGTCTTCAAGTAACTGACCTTCAATTTCAGCCAAACTTCCCCACAATAGTACTTCAATGGATTTCATCCTGCAATTATATATATATAGATATATATAATGATCTTTATTAAATAAGTTTCAAATGATGAAAATATATAAAAATAACTATAGTATAATATATACTTACTTATCATTCATTATTGTTATTTGACTCCTAGCATTGCGTCCCATAATACAAGATTTGACTTCAATAACAAAGCTCAATGTGTCTGTAATTAACATATATTAATGTTAATAAATAAATTAAACATATATTTATTTTAATAAAATTCATATAAAATGAAGAAAACTTACCAAATATTTCTCCTTTTGGGATTTCCATCACTTTATCCACTGGATGATAATCAAGTAACATTTTTTCCAAACTTATAAGAGTTTCTGCTTATCTTATGTTGGTATAAGATGTAATTGTTAACTCAATCTCTTTGTTAACATTAAAATATTCTTTCTTAATAGATTTAACAAATGCATTTGATATTATATATGATTTGTCTTTCATTACAGAGAATTGAAATTTTTTTTGTTGTCTCATTAAACATCATAGCTGAAAATTTGTTCCCTGCAATTCATAAATAAGATTAAATTCATAATTTATACTAAAATATTCAAATGTTATATCAAAATTATATTAAAAAAGAACTAAAGATTTTTACCTCTTCATCAATGAAGATCAATTTTAAAAGCTTTCCTGATCCTTGTGCATTATTGTACATTTCTGTATTTCCTTTTCTAAGTACTGCAACTTTTATCATCCGCTACTTGTTTTCCACATTCAATTGATTTATTTTTGAATATCGAGTAGCCATTATGTTTGTACTGTAAGGAATAATAATGAATTTATAGCAAATTTTAATTATTTTTCTCGTTGGTTAACATGGAAATGGATGAAAACCTTCCCAAATCCCAACTTTAGCATATTAGGTGACCAAGTTAACAATACTAATAATATCAATACCATAAAGAAGCAAAAACATGTGAATTGAAAGTACAGGAAAATAATAAATACGTCTACTTACCTCTTTTCTTCCATTGTGATGAAAATTTGAAGCTACAATGACAAAATAAATAATAAATAGTTAGATTGTTTGAATGATTGTAAAATTAATTTTTAAAAATTTTATAAAGAAATATTGAAGTTTATATAATGAAAGAAATACCTATGCATTTGATAACATTATGGAATAATACGTTTAGCTTTATAGTTTTTACGCTAAAACATAGAGACTTTGATATCTATTAAAGTTCTTTGAATGAATTATTTTGTTTAACTAAACTTTGTTTCTAAGTTAAATAATAATCCGAAACAAGAGTGAAACATTAAAAGAATTGAAGTCTAGTAAAAGTAGGAATTGTGACTTTAATATTATATATATATATATATTACCTCACGGCATAATAAATAAGATATATAATTATTTTACTATATTTCCTTATGGCTAAATACAAAAGATGTGATTATTACCTGTAGTGATAAAGTATATTTTTAATATTAAATTTAAGATATTATTAATTTGATCAGATTAATTTCAAGTTTAAATTATTTTTAAGTTTAAATTTTTTTAAATTTATATAAATTTGTATTTAAAAATTTTATTTTTTATTCATTGAAATGTTTAGATAAATTCAAAATTGGGATTTTGGAACAAAATTCAGGCTTGAATTTTTTTTAATAGTTGGAGCTAAGAAAGATTAAATTTTAATCATTTAAAGTAAAAAAAAAAAAAGTCTATTACTTTATCATTTTTATCTTACCTTGCTCTTTCTAAAGCCTTTCACTTTTAGAATCTATTTAATTAAATAATAACACTAATAATTAGAATTTGGCCATTTTCTTACCGGTTTCCACCTTCAAGACATTATCTTTTTGGGTCTCTGGCATGTCTCATGGTATCCTTTCTCTTCCTCTCTCTGAAACTCCTCATTTTTTTTTTGATAAACCATTAAAAAGCTTTTCCTTTCTTTTGATTTTGTACTTTGAACTTCGTTTTCTGTTAAATTTTTGAAGATTTTCTCTGCATTTCCATTTCTTCAGGTACTGCCCATGGTTCTATCTTTCTTTTTTTTTTTACATCTTTGTTTTCAATGCCCGTCTCTTCTCCGTCCTCTGCTATGAATGCATGATTCATGAATTTGACCCTTACTTCAACTACCGTACCACTCTTTACCTTACCCAAAATGGCTTCTACAATTTCTGGAACTGGTTCGACTATGAAAGTTAGTATCTTTTAGGTCGAATCATCAGCGGAACCCTTTATCCTGGGGTCATGGTAACCGCCGACCTCATTTATCACCTTCTTCATTTCCTTCGTTTCGCCGTCCATATTCGTTAAGTATTCTCTTCAAATCTATTCATATTGTAGGGGTTTCTCCTGTGGTAGCCTATAATTCCATTAATCTAAATGGAAATCAAACGGGACAAATCCTCAAACTTGCTTCCTTTATTAGATAGGCACAAAGTTATTGTTTATGATATACCTGTTTGTGTCTTTACCAACATATTTATTGTTTCTTCTTCACCAGGAAAGATGCAAGTGAAGCTGATGGATAATACAATGATCACTTCATCATGCAGCATGATCTTCTAAGAGAGCTGGCTATCTATCTGAGCAGCTTGGACCCTGTTGAAAAAAGAAAGAGGTTAATTGTAGAACTAAGCAGCAATAATTTTCCCAATTGGTGGTTGGAAGAAAAGCAACCACCTCTTGGCGCCCGCCTCTTGTCTATTTCCACAGGTTGTTATCTGTACCTCTCCAACCTTCAGACACATACACACAAATTAAGAAATTTACTCCTACCGCTAACTTCTTAAGCCGTTTAATCACGATGAAACATTCTCATTCAATTGGGGCAGCATTCAAGCACCAGAAGTTGAGGTTCTAGTTCTCAATTTTCGGACAAAGAACTACACCTTGCCTGTCTTCATGGAGAAAATGGAGAAATTGAAGATTTTGATAGTCATGAATAATGGTATCTACCCACCGAATTAAGTAACTTTCCACTTGGTTATGTGTACTATTGGTCAGGCTTTTAAGAATGGTACTAACAGGATCTTAGATATTTTTCCAAATCTTTTGGAAATTGACATTGACTATTGTGATGATTTGGTGGAACTGACTGATGGGTTGTGTGATCTTGTTCAACTGATGAAGCTTAGTATCACCAACTGTCATAAGCTTCGTGCATTGCCTGAAGGCATTGGAAAGCTGGTAAACTTGAAAGTGCTAAGACTAACATCCTGTACTGACCTCAAGACATTGCCTGAGACCATTGGGAGCTTATCCCAGCTTACTGTTAACATTTCCGACTTTCTAAGCATCATCAACATGCCAATCCAGATTGGTGAACTGCACAAAGTAAGCAAGATCTGTATGAGGGGGTGCTCCAGCTGTAACCTACCTTCAACAATCAAAAAGCTTCAACATTTGAAGGATGTCATCTGTGATGAGGAGACAGCCTATCAATGGTATTCTTTCAATTGTGATCTCACCAATCTAAAGGTAAAAGTTCACGAGGAAGATATCAACTTAAATTGGCTTCAGACATGTTTATAAGTTCCCTTTTTTCTCATATACTGTATAAGCTCCCTTTATTTTCATGTATAAAGCTTCATTTTATGAACATAATGGACTCAATGGACCAGGGCAATTTGAGACCAGCGTTGTTACAGTCTTTCTCTCTGATACTTTACCAGGCACTCCACCATAAATTCTCTGCAACCATGTCTTCACACTTTGATATGCCCGAAATAAGTCCACCATTAATGCAGAGAAGCTGTATTCTTCCTATTACATTGCATAGACTATCTTCCGGCTGCTATAAATACCAAGCTCAGATTCGGAATCGAGGTCATCCGTGTCCTCATCATCAAGGTTTTCTACGATGTAATGGTTTAAGCCATGGGCTTCCAGCAGCTGGAATGGTGGCCCGAGCAATTATCAGCATGATCGTATCTGTCAGCTGGAAGGTTTTTTGCTTGGAATATGACCCTTGCTGCTTATTTATTTTGGAAAGAAATTTGGGACTTCGGCGCTGGACTTGTTGCTGCAATGGAACTTTCAAGTTAACCAAGCAAAACCCAGTTTTTCTTTTCTCTTTTTCTTGTATTATATGAATGATTTTCTATTAAACCATTAATCCTGCTTCTTGAAATACAGGAACATTGAATGCTCCTTTGACCTAAAAGGATGAGCTAAATTTCTCTTGAATCTCTCTGTTGATTTGGCTTTCTGGCCTATAAAAGGTTAGTTCTTTCTCCAAGTCTTTGACATGTTATCTGTATTTTTATAATTGAAAAAAAAATAGAGCATACTATGCTTTGATTGACTTAAATACATGGAGGTTTAATTTGATTATTGATGTTGGTTGAAGTTTAAGTTTTAAAAGCTTTTGTGTTCTACAAAAGCAAATGAAGGAAGTTTAGAAATGGAGTGTTCAACTTTATGTTAAAATAGCACATAGGATAACTGTGACAAGTGAAGGAACAGAGTCTCCAAGAACTGTGACACATAATGTACTTAGGTTTTTACACTTACAAATTTTAAGACAGGAAATGAGACAGGAAATGAAAATAAATATAATTTCAGTTGAACCCTCAACGCCAAATGTCAAGGTCTCACTGGTTAATAGCTAGCTTAATTGCTAATTAGTATTTATTGCAAACATAAATTAACTGTGGTTTGTTTATCAGTTCTTCCTGCTAACGTCTACTTCTGCTGTTCTTGCATTTTTTTATCAAACTCCTGGACTTGATATTTGCTCTGAAACATTTGTTAGTAATGCCCTTAGAAGAGGTATCGTGGGTGGTTAGAAGAAAAGGTCGACTACAGGTAGTGAATTTGGTGTATGTAAATAACAAAGTTTACCAAAATAATGCTCTGCAGTAAGATGCATGCGCATGCTAGGCCAAGGGATTTAACCCTAAATCGATAAATGCTAAATCTTGGGTGAGTTCTGATTTCAACTTCTCCAAATTATTCAGGGGAGATTGTTATAGGTCCCTTAAAAACTTTGTTTATGAATGAGATGGCAAATGGACTTGACAATTCCACAGCATTTCAGATTGTTGCTTGTCTTCAGCAGCCTGTGCATATGACAGGTGCTACTTTGTTGGTTTCACTGCTGCAACCTGCACCTGAAACTTTTGATCTCTTTCATGATATTATGCTGATGGCAGAAGGGAAAATCTTGAATCATGGACTGCGCTATCACATTCTTGAATTTTTTGAAAACTGTGGTTTTAGGTGTCCTCAGAGGAAAGCGGTGGTGAACTTCATTCAGGAGGAAAGTGAAATTCTATTTGCGATCACATTCATTTTCCTGTAGTACAGTCTCTTGGTTATTCAACTTAAAATTATTTTGCCTTTGGACTTCGCAGGTTTTATCCAAGAAAGATCAAGCACAATATTGGTACAGCATTGAGCTACCCTACTCTTATTTTTCCGTTGATATGTTCTCAAGGAAATTTAAAGCATTCCCTTGGGGAAGAAGATAGATGAGGACCTTGTTCTCTCCACGTAATCTCTTTAATTTACTTCTTTTAATCTCATCAATCAATTTTTGTGCTCAAACAGTTTCAAGATTCAAGAACATATATATATGATATATATAGTTTTTTTTCTTTTGGTTTTTACTTTGATGTTTGGTTCATAGGTTTTTTTGTTGTTTCTATCATTTCTTCTTTCTCTTTGCCTGTTTGTAAAACATATTGAACAGATTAGTTCGCTGCATCTACTCCAGACAATAGATGGTCAAGTATACCTTAATAAAAAATAACGTTTGTCAAATGTCTTGGGTAAGAATACAAATAAAACAGTTATAAATATTAAAAAAAATGTTTTGTTTCATTATGTTTCTGAAAGTAAAACTTCCTTGTAAACCACATTTTTTGTGTATGTCTCATTTTCTTTTATAGAATTCTCAGTTTTGACTAAAACTTTTGTTGTAGCCATTGAGATTCCTCTAGATAATGCAACATACAATTGACCATGTGAAAAAACATGATTAGGCAGATAAACTCCAACATGTGGTATCGTTTGCCCTTGTGCTTTATTCACTGTCATCGCAAAACAAAGTCGTATTGGAAATTGTTTGCGTATGAATTTAAATGGATAATCTTTATCTTCTGTTGGTTTAAGAGGAATTCTTGGCAGAAGAACTTTTTCACCTGTATGTTGTCCAGTTGTAATTTCTGCATATATGACATTTTTGCCAAATCCTTTACAGACCATCCTTGTCCCATTGCACAACCCGATCGAAGGATTCAAATTTCCTGGCAGCATAATTGGGCAATTCACTTTGAGTTCCAACTTATGGTGTGGAAGTCCATTTGGTGAGAGTGTATTCCAAAACTCCTCTTCATAGCAATTATTATTTTCATCTTCTGCTTTATCAAAACTATAGAAAATTCTGCTTTCACCTGCAAATATATAATCAAAATTAGTCATATATCATCTATAAATATCAATATGGCAACATTAACAATTATTTAACTTTTATTGATATTGATACCTGGGAATATTTTTATCATTTTTTCATTGAGTTCATCAACATAATTATTCTTTGTTGCAAGAATTGCACGTTCCATCATATATTTTTTAGACCTGGCATTCTCTGTAAGAAAAGGAAAGATGCTGTCAGTCAGCTTTCTATCGGAAATTTCATCATTCTTGTATTTTATCACCATTTCCTTTGGAAGAAGAATTAAGTCATTACTTATTGTAGGTTCAACGTCATTTCCTACTCGAAGCAAAAACTCACTGAAGCCATCATCTAATCTTGCTCTCATATTTCTTGTCAATTTCAATTTTTCTATCTTACTCCACAAATAAGACTTTGCAAAACTAACATTAACTGTTTCTGCTCTTGTACCATGAGGAACAACAGGTAACACTTGACGAAAATCTCCTCCAAAAACAATTACTTTTCCTCCAAAGATTTCTGTGCTATCCATGATATCTCTTAAACTTCGATCAACAGTTTCAATGGCAAATCTTTTAGCCATAGGTGCTTCATCTTATATGATTAGGGATGCCCTTCGTAGTAACTCTGCAGTCCCATCTTGTTTTGAGAAACCACAAAAATATGTTTCATTAGGATTTAATGGTAAAACAAATCGTGAATGTGCTGTTCGACCCCCAGGTAATATTGCAGCTGCTACGCCAGATGTTGCTTTAGCTAATGCTATCATATGTCTTGATCTTACTTGTGCAAGTAAGGCTTTATAAAGAAATGTTTTACCTGTACCACCAGGTCCATCAATAAAAAAAGCTCCATTTCTTCTTGAATTAATCCTTTCCATTATAATTGTGAATGCTTTCTCTTGTTCAGGATTTAATTTTGTTTCTGCATCATAATCTTCAGGATGAATTTGTATTGATTCTTCTTCTATTATTTGTCGACAATTTGGTCCTTTGCCTTCCATCAGATCAATAAGTAAAGAAGGTAAATCATAATCACAAATTGTTTTGTTCCCCATGCCTTCATAACATAATAAAATTTAGCACAATGTCATTAGAAAAATTTTCACCTTAGATCATATATAATGGTTAGAAATTTTATAGAATTTTATATGAGTATTCAAGTAATACTACTATTCCAATCTTCTTGTATAAGAAATAATTAGAGAGAGAAAGGTATTAAACTTTTTGATCATTGGTATATCTATTTGTTGTTATGTTATTGTAAAGATATTTCTGCAAGCATAAAGTGGCTAGTTTGTCTGATCTAACTTTACAAATATAAAAAAACACTTATCATGTCTTTTTCAAACTATTCAAATGAATTATGGATCACTTTTTTTTTGTCTTTTTCCATTACTTACTAAATTTCTTAATGTCCTACGATATTCCATTTATATAAAATCAAATGCCCCATCATCGTATCCTAAAGTTTATAAAAAAGAAGTATAAAAATTAAATGGCATTATATAAGCAAAATTTAAAAATGAAAGTAAAATAATTTAATAGAGGAAAAGATTATTATCACATACCTTCTAAAAAACAATTGATACTTGTTAATGTATCTGATACTATTGCGAAGATTGCATCTTTATGAATCCTTTTGAAATCTTCAGACATTGCTTCAAAATATCTATCCCAAAGTTTCCTTACATTTGTAGGTTCACAATGGTATAATATTATAGCAAATAATTTTCGAAGTGCTTTTGGCATTTGATGTGTTGTTGCTTCAGTCAAACACTCTGTGATACTTTCATCTGATTCCAAAAGACCTCTTTTCTCTGCTACTTCTTTGAATGACAAATAATGTATTCCAGCAATTGTTAATAAATCTTCAAAAGAAGTAGGCCCTCTAACATGATTCAATAAAAGTCTAAGATAAAATCTTTCACCTTCTTTTGGATTTACATTATTTATGCGACCAATAACAGTTTTGTTTTGTCTTTTTGTCCATATTTGATTTTGCCTGTTCCACACATAATGCTCAGGAAATTCTCTATACAAATACTTTCTTGCATTACTTTCATTAGCACATGTTTCAAAATATTCTGTCAACATTGTTCTTGACACATGATCCCAATACAACACATTTTGTAAATTTTGATTTTTCCAATAATACACAGCTTGTTGGTTTGGAAGATGTAACTGCAAGTTTATGACTGGAGGAGACATTTCATTCAACTCAAACTGAAAAATTCTCCATATAGCCTCTTGAGGAGATATCCATCTTGCATCTTGAAATTGCTTTATTTCATCAATGACATTATCCCCGTCATCTTATGCAATATAAACAGCAACTTTGTCATGCCCTTTATATATATACTTATAAAGGTACTTGACTGCCTTCACTCCTGAACATATCTCAACATTTATGTGACAATTATATCTTGTCAAAAGATATGGATTATATGGTACAATCCATCTATTGTCAACAATTTTGTTCTTTATCTTCACCGACGAACCATTTGCTCTTCTTCTATATATTGGATATCCATCTTTTCCTTGCAGTGTCAGTGAACAAAAAGCTCTAGGATAGTGAAATTTGCATTTATCATCAACTATGCACTAGTAACGACAAAATTGCCGATAGACCAAAAGGAACCAGTTCAGGAAAATTATTGAAATTTAATTGTTTTATTTTCTTTTGATATCTAACTATTAATTATTGTCAAAATATTACTACTTTATTCTTAATTTATTGGGCGAAACATGCAGGGCAAAAGTGGATATTGCGAATTGGTTGAGAGGGAATCTGATAGTGCCTATGCATTAGTTTACCTCGTTGCCACACCAAAATTTCTATTTCCTGCTATATTTCATATTTATTTTTTCGAAATATTAAAATCATTAGTGCTATAGCTTTTGTAGTGAATGTTTTTTTGTAATTTCCTTCTCAATGTACACGATCAATGAATAACTAAAGTGATAATTTATAAAATATATATATATATATATATATATATATACTACATTTATGTCAAATAGACTATTTCTAAGGATAGAATTATCTCTTCAAATCCAAATGTGTGTTTAAAATTTAAAATGATTTGAACAAAAATTATTAAATTTATTGAACGAATTTGGACAAAAAATAAAACATACTTAAAATACACGCCGTGTCTTCACTCAAATGTTCAAGGCACGAGTTCGATTTAGTTTTACTTATATAAAAATATATTTATAGTTATATATATTATATTATTTATACTTTATATTATACTAGCACTACTTCCAGATCATGCCTAGGTTAGGGTTTTCCTAGTTTTTTCATACTTCTCAGAGTGGCATTCAAACCGAATCCAGTGCACCTTGTTTGTATAAAATCTGGCTAGAAAAAGCAAGTGTTCAGCTTTGTGTGTTCATTGAGTATCTGAATGATTGTAACACAACTTGGGTAATATGTATTATTCAAGGTGTTCTTAGTGTAGCTTGCTTTACTTGTTCTCAGCTTATCATATGGATACGGATGTGTCTTCATTTGTAAATTTGTGTGTTTTTATTTTATTTAATTTTTGTGACAATATTTTATGTTTTGTTTTAACATTTGCTTGTGAGATGTTAAATGAATTGTTCCACCAACTATATATAGTTTTTTTAAGTAATTATCCCTATTGTTTTAAAAAAAAAAGGTTACTTGTAAGCCTCTAAATTTTATCATTTTTCTTAAGCTCATTTTTAAAAAATTTAAGATTAGATATTCAAATTTCGTTTTTTTCAAATATTTTATTTCAAACATTAATTTTACTAACAATAACTTAATATAATAAAAAAAATAAAAAATATCATGACACAAGTATCATATTTTATTTATCAATATTTATCGTGTTAACATTTTGACTAATGAAACAATGGGCATATGGAGCGCAGAGCAGAGTTGTGGATCTATGTATATGTAAGAGGTGCAACGAAGGCTAGATAGCCGCCGACGCCAGCACCACTGTCATCTGAGTTCCCGACGCCCATTCTCCTGCCATCGCCAACCGATCTCTTATTCTCATCCTTGAATTGTCCGACCCTGATGAGCTCAGGTCAAGACACGACCCAAACTGTCGCCTATCGAGGCCGAGCACAACACGGCCATCGAGTGTCTGGCTTTGGAGGAGATTAAAGTGATTGCAGTTGGGAACTCCCGAGGATTCCTCTTGATTTACTCTTTGCATGGTGATTTGATTCATAGACAGGTAACATTTCTTTTTAATTTTTAATTTTTTTCAATTCAGTTTGTTTATTATTGTTGTCTAAAAAAGTTATAGTTTTATTTATGGGTTTTGTTACTTTTGTGTGGCAATATGCTAATAGGCCATGTTTTGTTTTGTTAGGGATCATGATAACTTTGATATCACTTGTTAGGCCAAATAGTCTCAATCCAATCACACTAGCAAAAGTAAAATCAAATAATCAATCAATCAAACAAGAGATAAAAATTTAACGTGGTTCAGTCTAATCGACTTACGTCCACAAATGAGAAAAAAGATACACTAATTGTAAAGAATTATAAACATATAACTCATATCAATCAGTACTCAACAATCAATACCTATAAGTTCTTTCAATCTCTTTTAGTTTTATGAAGTATTCTCAACCCAAACAAACACAAACCCATTACTCTCATGTACCCATATTTATGTGGACCCTCTTAGTCTCTTTTAATCCACTCACAAATATTCACACCACCATACTTATATGGACCATCTCATTCTCCTCTAGTCCATTCAAACGTACAAACCCTTAAGGACGTTGTTCATCAAGCAACATCTAACCAATTCCAAACAAATTTCTTATGGGATTTTAGTCACTATTCTCAACAATCTTCACCTTGACTCAAATTTCATCAAATTATCCGTTTTCATGCTAGACATGTTTGGCTCCACCTACAATGGAAGCCTTATCATCATTTCCTTTTGTGTGTCTTCATACTTCATGCAAACTGATCCTCAATCCTCAAAATATGAACTCAAACTCATTTCTTAAATTGAGTTCTTTTAAATTTGCCTCTTCTCGTGGTTTGTACCATGCTTTGATACCATTTGTTAGAGATCATGATAGTTTTGATACCACTTGTTAGGTCAAATAGTCCCAATCCAATCACACCAATAGAAACAAAATCAAATAATCAATCAATCATACAAGAGACAATAATTTAATATGATTTGGTCCAACTGACCTATGTCAACGGATGAGAAAAAAAGATCTTTTAGTTGTAGCAAATTACAAACATGCAACTCATATCAATCAGCACTCAACAATTAATACCTATAAACTCTCTCAATCTCTTCTAATCCTATAGAGTATTCTCAACCCAAATAAATACAAACTCATATACACTTATGCACCTATATCTATATGAATCTTCTCAATCTCCTTTAATCCACTCACAAATATTCATACTACCATACCTATATAGACCATCTCAATCTCCTCTAATTCATTTAAACATATACACTTATAAGAATTTTAATCTTCCGTAGTCCTATAAGGTGTCTATTTCGTAAAATCCTATAATTTTCTTACATCTTTTTTTCATACTTAACCTTGTAGAGATTTC